TACATCAACTATGTAAACACCCTACACTTGGACTCTCTCGCAAACACAAAAGTCATGTTGACTTCTTGGTTTATTTTCTGCTTTTTTCTTAAATGTCAACAGTGCAAGGTCACCCTCCGAGTAGGCCATTACATCACGTTAATATCACAAGTTGCTTATGACGTGTGATATCATGTTAACATCACACGCTGCTGCCGCCAGCTTGTTAGGATGCTCTGAGGCAGCGGCACTGATAGACCGAGAGAAAGGGAAAAAAAAAAAAAAAAGAATGAGGGAGGAGAACGGAAAAGAAAGCGAGGGGGAGGATGAGAAGAGGGAGGCGGAGGATGAGGAGGAGGTTTACAAAGGTACATAGTATTCCTGGGTGAAACCATCATTACTATGAGCAATGGTAGCAGTCACCGGCCATTACCTGAACCATCCACTGTCATAAGCAGAACATTTTTCCAGGCTGCCCCTCATGTCAGGCGGCTCAAGAGGGGAAGCAGCCTTCTTGCATGCTGAATACATCCTCCCACCTGCCGCCTCAGCCTCACCCCCCCCCCACCCCCATGGCCGACATGGCAACTCTACTTCATCATCATAAGAAAGAACCTGCCGATAGCTTTTGGGACACGATCAATACATTCTTTCAGAGCAGTTCTTTCTCGTCATGCCACCTTTTACGCTCTGCCTCCCCTAAATGCGAGGATCATATACCCCCTCACATCCCCACTCCCCCGAGGGTTGAGTGGACAAGGTTCTGTCTTAGTGGCTGGAGGGGGAAGTGAGTGACAGTCCATCCTGCGCTGTGAATGCAGTCATGATGGGAGTATTAAGACTCAGTCCTCACAGCGCCACGAAATGAATGTGCCTTTCTCAAGTCAACTTCTAGACCCGCAGGCTGTCATCACGGCTGTGTGTGTGTGTGTGTGTGTGTGTGTGTGTGTGTGTGTGTGTGTGTGTGTGTGTTGGCAGCAGGCTGCAGCCGCTCGCTCATCGTTAATTGAAATTGCCGCTTGTTGTCAGCGGAGGCCTCCCCTCTCCGCACGCGCGGAGGGGTTAAATTATTTTGTAAATACTTCTTCAGACGGATTAATTATATGGATGCTTTTCCTGCGGGTACGCGGCGCAGCCATAAAGAAACACTAATCACGTTTTGCATGAAATATCGAAGTGCTTGATGGCAACATTTAAGCCGTCTTGCTTTTGTCACAACCCAAATTCGGTTTCGCTACCAAATGTAAATGGGGAGGCTGATATGACGAGGCTGCAGAGCCCCTTTTAATGATCCGTCTGACTTGCGGCGACGGAATAAAATGATTTTTCTTTTTTTTTAACTGAAAGTTTTCAGGAGGAAACCTGTTTTCAATCACCAAGCGCCAGGCATGTATAAAAATTGTGATTTCAGCTAAGTGAGTGTGTAACTATTCGTATCACCATTACACATTGCCCAAGGAAATGTGAGCGGAGGGGAGGGGAAGGCGCGGGGGAGGGGGGGGGGCTTCTATTCGCAGGTTGCCCGCACGCACGCCACACCGCCGCATTCGGATATGTGACTTGAAATATTATCACGGGTTAATCCAATATTCTATTTGTCAGGTTTGGAATTGAGTTTAAAATGTCAATATCACATCAAAAGCGGCGCTGTAAACTGAATTTATGCTGCCAGATGCGTTTGAGGGAGCGGAATTCCAAGAAAGAAGCACGTGTTTGCACCTCGCGCAAATGTAATGAAGTTGACGTATTGCAGCGCTGCCTCCTCAAAAGCAATTTGACTCTGACAGCTAATTTTGCACGCTTCTTTTTTTTTTTTTGAGCTCTGACAGCAAAACTTTGTCACTTTTTTTTTTTTGAGGGACTGTTTTCTCTCTTGAAGTGCGCGCCACAAGGAGCTCGTCTTTTGGTGTCACACAGGGCGGCTTTTCTATTATGCTGTAGTTGAACACATTGTGTCATTTTTTTTTTTTTTTTTACGATTGGGGCCACGTTGTGACTTTTCCTCAACATTGGCCCGCAGACAAACAGAGAATGCGAAATCAATCTAACAGGAGCAAAAGAAGGGAGCTGTGAATGACAGTTATTAAAATTGACTTTGCTCGCAGCCATTAGGAGGTTGCCAAGAATGCCACGAAAAATCAAAAGGACAATCTCCATCACCTCGGGAGTTGAGCTTCATTGATAATGCATCCGCGAGGATGACTGATGTCGTGGCTCCGCGCGGGCCTGATGGTCTTGTCATGCTCTGCGCTGGCAGAGAAAATGAAGGCAAATGGCGGCTTAATTACAGCAATAAATCGTCGCCCCGAAGCTAAAAACATCATATGACAAAACAGCTCGGAAGACTTTTCTATTGCGTGTTGATGATGATGATGACGATGACGCATGATTGGCTGTGGGTCAAAGAGCAGTGATATTTGAGCGCTCGTGATTCATTTGCGCTCGCATGCATAAGGACTCGGTCGAATTCAGTTAGTGTTTGGACTAAAAATGCTTTTTGAATCGGTTTCTGAAGGAATTTGTTGGGCTTAATGTGATCAAAGCGCATTTTCCCTTTGATAAGAATTCCGTCAGCAAATGCACTGGAATGAGCCGTAAATTGACATATTTGGGGATTACTTGAAAGAGCTTTGAAAGTGTGATAAATATTGTGGCTAACAGCTCGGAAATTATTGCAGAACGAAGCATATGTGAACAGAATTACTCAAAATGATTTTTTTTTATCCGATAAAGAAAATAATTGAAGCGTGGAAACGGAGGCAATCCTTTTCTGGGTTAAACTACATCCGTATCCCCCTCATAAAAAATAATAAGAAAATTAAAAAAAATAAACAAATAAGAAGAGTCCAGTCTCAAACTTTACGGATTACCATGACCTGAATGACTACGAATCTAAGTGCAGGGTTTGATTCCGGCTCTGGCCTTCCTGTGTGGAGTTTGCATGTTCTCCCCGTGCCTGCGTGGGTTTTCTCTGGGTACTCTGTTTTTTTTTCTTTGCTTCACCGAGCCAACATTCCCACTCGCAACCTTTGACTAATTTCACCAATCGAGTAAAACCAGACACTCACATGACCGCACCCAAGTCGCGGCAGCCTCCCAAATGAGCACGGTTTGCAAAAGTGACCAAAGGACACGACGCATGGCAGAAACAACGGTGGAAACAATTATTCCGATGACTACTTTTCAATTTTACTTTGTCATCTTGTAAAATAAGAGTACTCTTACTCGTGTACATTTTTGGGGAACTTTACCCACCTCTGTGATGGCTTTCAATTGCAGCATGAGTGAGTGTTGTCGAATGATATCGGGGCCTTTGTTCCAGATTGCTAGTCACGGTGCAACATGTTCTGGATGTAAAGCAAAAAGCATATTGCCACGCACACCTAGAGATCATTTTTTTACGCTTTCATAGGATACACAATAGCTGCGGCCACCGCTGAGCCGTTTGACATAAAAGAACGCTAAACGTTTGCCATGCGAGTGCTAATTCCGAAACTCGTGAGAAGCTTCGGAAGTGTCGCACAACTTTAGAATGCAAGTGTAATTGAACACACTGTGGGATGTGTCGCCATGTTTCCAGCGAGCAAGGCAAGCCAGGGTACGCTTCCAAACACGCTCAGATGTACAATTTGATCAGCATGTACAAACAAAAAGGAGGAAAAGAGAAAAGTGCACACACTCCAAACTTTTAGGATTACAGGATTACATTTTCGCTTCCATTTCTTCCTCTCGACACACACACACACACACACACCCGCGCGCACACGCATAAGCGTTCGCACACTGTGCTCGGCTGCCAGCGGCTCCATGAGAGCTTCTCGATCTTGTTATGATTGTCAATATTGATGGGGGGAGTAGGGGGGGGGGGCAGAGAGCTTGACATAAAGCAATGACTTTACAGACGTACACATGCCAGAGATTTGTTTTCTTTCCCCTCTGGACACACGTTTGAAATTTTTCTTTTACAGCAAGCCTGTCTGTGGTGGTTTTTGTTTTCTTTTCATCAGTTTTCAATAGTTGCATTCAACTTTGACAACTCCTGTTTTTGTGAAATATCAACGCGTGGTTGATGCCATCATCACCTTCAATTCTGTTGACTGATTTGTTGATTAGGCGTTCCCAGAGGAGACGTACAAAAGTAAAATGCCGGAAAATAAAACAAAAATATTCCGTCTCTACTGATTGCCTCTCTGATTGTTTGCGCAGGCAGCGCATGTTATCGTCTCCGGACGTACAAAACATGCTGGCAAATAAACAGGAAGTTGTCAATTGACTTTGAGGCCGTCATTTTAATGGAGACAAAACTCACTTCGTCTCTCCCTCAGGATGATTAAAACAAAATCAGGCTGCAAATCCCGATTACATTCGTAATCGCTGAATGTGCCAGATTAATTCTTCTATTAAGCATACATAAGCTAACCGGGGCGCCTCCGGACGGCCGGCGGGGCAGCGAGCTCTTGCGCCGTGTCCCCTCCTCGCTAGTTGTTGTGACCCTATGCGGGTCCCCAGAATTTCAGCCGTTTGCTGGGTCATTTGCCCGCTCATTACTGTTCCCAGCTTTCATAGTTCCATCAAGATTTGAATGCAAAACTGTTGCTCACTGGAGGCTGACAGTTTCCCAGACACACTTCATGGCCGTGAATGGTAAATGCGGGATTAGAAACGACAAGAGAGAATATAGGAGGCTCTTCGCCGTGCTAATTGGATTCTTTGAACCCTTGTGTTTTTTTTTCGTGTTCTTTTTCTAAAGAGCATCTATCTTGTAAGCGAATAAAATAAAATGTGCTGCTATTTACGTTCCACACCTACATTGAACCACAAGGTCCAAAAGAAAGGTACATGACCGTGAATATAGATTTTTTTTTTTTTAAACCAAAACATACATATAATACAATAACCTTTTGTTCAGACACGCTAAATCGTCGGTTTGAATTCAAGGAGAAATGTCCCTTCATAAAGACCCATTCAATATTACAAGTGGTTTCAATGAGGTGCTTCAACCATTCGTTGTGTCCCTTCAGACGGAGACATGGAAGACTCATCGCCATATGAACCTGTAGCACCCGGCCGTCATCAGGATGCATTCCGCTTGGCCTCCATCTCCTCAGGTAACCAACTTTTGGCACTCACTGGGCCTTAATAGGAATATTTCTCATATTTATGGAGGATCATACCCCCAATTGATTCTCAAAGTGTGGTGCATGGGCTCCCTCTAGTGGTACGCAAAAGAATCACTGAATTAAATGTTCACCGCATGTGTCAGGGTTAGGGTTACTTTTCAGTTTTTTGTTTGGCTGTTTTTCTTCAACCAGCGTGGTACATTTGTGAAGTACATGTCAGTTATGTTTCGCTTGGAATCGATTTTCATTTCTTCTTTTCGAATGGCTTGTTTTGAAACATTTATTTCGGAACACACTTTAATGGACTCAAAGTACAAAAATACTGTTTGAAAGTACAGTTTGTATTTGAATACATTTACGATGCGACTTGGGGGTCAAAGGTATAATGTTCCTCTAAACTAGACTCATCTATGAATGGCTTTATTATTGTCCTTGCATGATGCAAATGGCCACATTTAGACACCCCCCCCCCCACATACACACACACAAAGAGATTTTCTAAAATGTTCCGAGACAAGTAGGAGAACCACCTAATTCTCAAAAATGTTTGAGTTGTACGCAGAATCCGAGCGAGTGGTTCCAGCGACACTTCTGATTGGTTACTTTTGTGCATGTAAATTCCGAAGGGATGAAAGTGCGGGCCAAAGGGTCTGTGAGGTCGGGCATTTTCTTGCTTGGTACTGATGCTGTTGGTACATCTTGTGGCATGTGAGGTAAACTAGAGCGCGAACCCACATTGTATTGATTCTGCGTTCTGTTTGATTTCCTCTTTACTAATTAAACAGCTTGGGCTCAGCAGGCGCCATAGAGCTGATGATTTAATTTACCAGTTGTTACCATCACGGTGCCACTAATCAATGCAGATCTTACTTTCAAGCCGCATGGGTTGATGCTGCTGTTCAATAAGTTGAGCGATTTCTGCCCGCTGCAGCCTTGCAAGCTACAGAATCACACATCCAGTGGTTCTCTTTCATCCTCTTCTGTCAAGACATTACCAGTGGATGTTCTTTTACTTTTAAACCCCCGTTGTTTTTTTTTTTTTTTGCCAAAAGCAATCTAGAAACACTAACGACAGCATATTTTTTTTCCCCTCGCTTGTTTCTCACTTTGTAGGGATGTAGCACAAAGGCACGCTTTTTGCATAATCCCCTTAGCTTGGAATCAGCAGTGCATCACTTGGTCTCGCATTAAACGTTTGCATGACAAAATGAGGAATGAAAGATGATTGGAATAGCGAAAGGATGTCTGGCCATAGACTATTTTGGAATTTGGGGGGCATGACAGGGAACAGAGTGTGCATTGTCTTTAAAGTTGAACAATTTGGCGTATAACCCAAAAGTGAGACCATCAGGTAACAGCGAGTGAACGTTGACGTTCTTGTATTGACAAATCAGTAGAAAAGACGGAAGTGACGCACGAAAAGAGACAGAGCATCGACAAAAGTCGACATCCAGAGACTTACTGAGGAGTGTGTGAGCAGATATCTGTGGATTCAGAGTCTGTGTTTCGATGTGACGTCTGGGAATCAAGTGTCCAAATTCGTCCCAATCCATTGCATCGAAAAGAAGCTACTGCGCATGGCAACATTTTAATGCAAGTCAACAGGGATAAAGAAATTTAATTCATCGAATATACATTATACTATTTATCATGCTCATGTAAAAATAGACGAATATATTTCAAAATGTTTCTTTATTTTTAGTTTAGTTTTTAGTTTTTTTTTGTGTCATCAAGGAAACTCACGCACGTCATCACCTCTGGTGGTGCGGCGGCACTCGAGCGCCCTCTATTGACCAATCGCCACTGTCCAGACTACAGACGAAAGATTCACGCTCAAAGCTAAGACTGGCTCATTTAACCATGATCATTTTAACTGATTATATATTTTCCTCTCATTTGCATGCTAAACAATATTTTAAATTATGAAAATAATTCAAAAATGTAATTAAATTCAGAAGTCGAAGTGGCCTGCAATCGATTGTTCTGACTGTGGAGGTTCCACTTGGACCATTTTGGTGTGGAAATTTCCTTCAGGGACCCTGTATTGTAATTCTCTGTGTGATTTATGAATGAAAAAGCAAAGTAGCGAGAGTGTCTACAAAGGTGTGATGTCATCTGACCCGATGATTGAGAATCAAAGTCGAAGTTGGCAATATGTCAATCGCAGCCAAATGTGTGATCATCGCATGCCAATTTGCAGCATTGCCAGTTGAGAACAAAGCATATGCTACGGTGTACTTGGTTGATTAAGATGTAACAGGGGAGTCATTAAGCCAGCCATTTTGATTCAGCTGTTTTCCTTCATTTTCCCCAAGGTGAAATATCGGATTTGCTCGCAGGAATTTGTTACGCTGCCAGCTTAGCTCATTATTTATCATTTCTGAGCTCGTAGAATAATTGATTGGGGGCCTGAAAGAAATCTACGGGAGAGCAGATATCCAATTGTATGTTCGGCATTGTTCTTTAGGATGGTGGTGATAAAAACTGGGTTTGTTTATGAAACTCGTAGAATGCATGATGAATGGTGTCCTGTCAGGTGTTTTGAATGTTTTTGGTGAGCGTACATCCATCAATATGGAAAACACTTACCCTTATTCACGTCACAATGAAGCTGACGCCTCTCCAAATGGATTTGAGGCGGACTGATTGGTAGCCGATTTCAGGGCTGTTTTGGTTACCTTATGTAGCTATATGATCGGAGATAACTCGTTACTAACAGTTCTCATTCACTGCTGTTCGACAAAATTATCTCTCAAATCAAATTATAGACCTACAGCTCTCCAAAGAATGCAAACTAATCCGTTTCTCTGATTTTGTTTGACTAAAATGAATCTTGGTGGGTTGTTTTTTTTTTCTGTCAACTACTGGTGCTGCAAGAATTTTCAAGGCAATGTTTTTAAAGCAATGCCACAGGTATTACTTCAATTCGTTCTACTCAGACCTGTCCATCTCTTCAGTTATTTTCACATGCACTCAGACAATGAGGCAATGAGTCACTTGAAGCTGCAGGGTCCGTCCCCCGAACAAGAACACTAGTCGCCCTCAATGACTTCATCTGCATTAGCTGCAACATGCCCACGGATGACTTCATCACAAGCCTAGAGTGATTGCAGCTGACCCTTTACTGGATGTGTGGACTGACAAATGCATCCTTGTTGAGAGCTGAGCTGCGTTCCGCATCGCTCCCAATCCCCTACTCTATAAAGCGCCCGAAATACTGTCGCAGCGGCTCCCAAAATTGACTGGGCCAAGGCACTCATTTGACGTGACAAAAACCTCAAGGCGCACTGTCAAAACAAAACATCACAAACGATATGAATACTGAAATATAAATGGCTTAAAAGGTGATTTGGTTTTGAAAAATATGCGCCGAAAGTGAGAGGATACCTTCGTGTACGTCGTTTAATAATTTTTTTTTTTTTTTTGCAACCGGTTGAAAAAGTTATTTTTTTTTGCTTTGACTTAAGAGCAGAAATTTGAGATGCGAGCACAGTACGGTGGCGTGACACAATTCTCTAAGCAGCAAGCAGCAGCTTGGCAGAAATGTTCTTCAAAAGGGGCGTTCGGGTCATTTATTGCCACTGCCAAGTGAAGTTTACAGTCAAACTCAACATCAAACAAAGAATGACAACTTTGCTTTGAAAGCCGCTAGCTTATGTACGTGCAGACGAGTTTGACAATTTTATATAATGTGAATCTCCTCCATGGTCTGTCAACACTGCCTACCTACACGTGCAGTTAAATATGCAATTTGAGTTCAAACAAAAACTCCATCAAAGAAGGAAGCCGTCTCATCGTTTATTACAAAAAAAACCTCATGCGGATAACCTTGAATTATGAACATAATGAAGTGTGAGGCACAGAAGTCTAAATCAGGTAAGGTTGCCATTAAAGTTTGAATTCCGGTGATAAATGCATAGCATAAACATTTGAAGGCAAGGCTTTGATAACTTTGAGAATCTTTGTGCGATTGCACGTTTTCGTTTTTATATCCAAGCTGAGCGACACAAAGAGGAGCCCTGCGGCGCCTGCTGCGTACTCGGCAGTCTGCTTCAACTCCTTTCAAAACATGAAATGTAGCCACGTGCCGCGAACTGAATTAGTTGCTCTTGTTGTTCTTTTTATAAATTATCAAATTTTTTTTTTGCACTCCTGAAAAAAAAAAAATAAAAGAAATTTGGAAACATTTTAAAAATCCAATCCCTCTTTGCGACTATGCAAAGAGAAAAAACATGAGCGCAGGGGTGTCAAACTCATTTTTACTGCAGGCCACATTTTAGTTATCATTTTCCTTGGAGGGCCATTATGACTGAAAGCATATAAAGAAGTCAAAAATAACTATTCTTTAAGTTAACGTAATTGGGTGTTTGGCAACAAAAAAATGCTTAAAATGTCTCTCTTATTTATTACATATGAGAATTTGAAATTTTGGTACATATTTTAGCAAGCATCATGGAAGTTGCCATGTTTGATTTGCTTTCGCGGGCCACATAAAATGATGTGGCGGGCCAGATCTGGCCCCGGGGCCTGGACTTTGACACCAGTGCTTTAGCTCATAATTGCACCACCAAATACTGTGATGCTGTATGATGCGGGTCCCTATTATCCAGGGCTTGAGCGATGATAATATCTAGCTCTGGAAAAAAACTGAAGAAACCACTGCAAGATTAAACAATCAGGCAAAAGCAAAATAAGAGGACATGGAAAATCAAGGATGGACTGCAGGTAGCCGGCTGAACAGACGATCAGCAAATGTTTGCATGACAAAAATATCCTCGTTATGAGGTGTCTGCTCCCTCTGCCGTCACCACTCTCACACTTTTCAAATTGAAACCAAACCAAAAAAGCAGCCTTTTGGTCTTCATGTTCGCCCTGTGTAATCGCTGCAAATTGTGTCTGCTATGATATTGCCTGGGCATTTTTTTGCTCTGTCCCGCAGACATTAATGCGCAGATTAATTGACAAGTTAAAGACATTTTCAACGGGGT